CGTCACAGGTTCAAACCCAGGTGCTGTAACCCAGTGTGTGCAGCACAGCTTGGTCTAGTAAAATACCCAGCTGAATTCAGGAGTGCCAGTGCAAGCTGCTTTAGGCTTGACTACATTACTCATACTGCTGGGGACTGCGCATTCAACACAGAGAAGAGGGAGGGGGGGTGTCTTTACACAAAGGGTGGTGGGAGTGTGGAACCAGTTGTGGTGCTTTTCTAAATCGCCTGTTCGGAGGCTGTGTTACTTCACAAGGCTTATTCTTATTCAAGAATAAGTCTGATAACACAGATTATTTAAGGCTTATAGGGGTGGGGATGTGGCTCTGTGGCTCAGGATCTGTGCCTGTGGCTGGGAGGTTGCTGGTTCAAATCCCACACCCGGCAGAGGATTCCTACTCCATTGGGGGCAGTATAAATGGCTGACCCTGTGCTCTGACCTCCAGCTTCTCTCTCCCTGTCTGTGTCTCATGGAGAGCAGGCTGGGGTCAGTGAGAGGACAGATTCCTCATGCAAGAGATTGTACAGGGCTGATAAACTGATCTGATCCTATTCTAGTCAAATAGCAGCTGAATCCATGAACACCAATGCAAGCTGCTTTACACTTTCACAGATCAGTAACGTGCATTCTCAACTTGTGCTTGAAACAGAGGACAGGAGGCACTTCCTTACTCCAAGGGTGGTGGGAGTGTGGAACAAGTACCGCAGGAGGGTTTTCTATAAAACGGCAATGTGGAGGAATAGTCAGTGCTCTGGGGGGTTGCGGGTTCAAATCCAAGGTGGAGTGAGGTACTTCACACAGCTGGTCGTAGTAAAGTACACAGCCCTGAGACCTGCGGGTCTCCAGGTTGTCAGGGGACATGAAGGTGTGGGTGAAATAAAGGATTAATCGGGGTGCTGCTGGCACAGCACTGTGGACGGACCAGGCTCTCGAAGATGACTTCCCTTCACGGACAGACTTCTTACTGGTCACGGATAATGGGAGGCCGTGCTGTAGATCTCACTGGGCTGGCTGCGTCAGAACTGACCTGACGAAGGTGTCGTGAGGAACACGGGTTTCTTGAGAGCCCGACCCCAGAGACCACCCCCGGTTCTGTCCACAGCCGGCGTGACGGGATGACTGGGGACGTCTGTCTTCGCTGAGCAGCGGTACAGACACCCCAGTGCCGCCACTGGTTCCCAGGCTCTGTCTCTCAGTGGGTAGGACCGGGAGTGTTTGGGGGTGCACCAGG